CAGTGCTACTGTTTTAATCAGACTAGAGCAGCTACGAGTACACTACAGATAGGACAGCAATATTATTGAGCATGTACAGATACCAGAAATGGCCCTAGGGCTGGCCAGATTTGCATATAATTCTTCTATCAAAGTACAAGTTACTGTTCTTCATTACCATATTCACAGGATAGTTCGGGCCTTGAGAATTCCACCCGTTCATATTTGTTGCTGCAGTCTCTGCAGAGGGACTGTGAAACTGTCTGATCCTGGATTGCCAGGCAGCCTGTGGAGCTCAGGAACTGCATCTGTGTGCCAAGCAAGGCAAACAGGTGGAGGAGGTTCACATAGCTGACAATTTAATTACTTTGCAAAATCATTAAGCTCTGGAGATGTGCCATTAGAAGTTCTGGCATATACAACTGCTAAAGGGATAATTAAAATGTGCCTGGGAGGTTTTATTCCAAGTTATTCTTACAGCACATAGAAGTTACTTTATTTTTCATGTCCGTTTATTACACCTCCCACCTGCAGAAGACTCTTCCCATCTGTCACTTTGTGTCTGCCAGCACAACCCTGGGCATGAGTTCCAACCTCCTTCACAGCCCCACACTCCTCTTGTACCCTCCTGCATCCACCTCCCTCTCCAGCTACAGCCCCAGCACCACTCCAGCTGCCAATGACCTTGGTGGAACAGGTAGAGAAATAAGAGGCAACACAGGAATGGCACTCCCTGCTGACTACTATGTTCCTTTTCATAATCATATGCACAAGGATCACAGAAGAGGAGATGTGCTACTGTGAGAAACAATTTGAGGACAGGGGCAGCAGCAGTGTCACTGACCTTAACCTGTCCATGAGTGAACATCCACAGAGAGGTGAACACAGAGGACTTTCCAATTATGATGGAAGCTTGTTAAACAGGGCCTGTCCCTGTGCACTTTGGTCACCTCACAGCATTAGGTTGCCACCTGCTGCCTGCGCCACTTGTAAGCTCTCCTTAAAACTGTTTAACCCAACTGTCAATCCAAAGTTCAGAGCAGAAATGATAAAACCTTTCCAGGAAGATCCAGGTTCTGACCAGATTAAGCTTCCAAACCCTTCGGTCCATCACACTGCCCTACCAAACCAACAGGGTCTGGCAGACAGCAAGACTGACACCCACAGCACTTGGTCCTCATTTGCAGCTGCTTCCAGGCAGAGTTATGTCTCAGTCTAGGGACTCTGGTGAGAAACCTCCATTTTAGCCCCCTAAAATTCCATGCACCTCCTGCATAACATCCCCCACCCACAACAAAGCACCTCCATCAATAACTAAGATAGTGGACAAATATATTATTAACAGATCCTGCAGAAAGTACTTCAGCCTAGTGGAGAATTCTGTACCCAGAGGTGTGTTGCTGCAGACCTGATTCCGTTTTAGACTCGTAGCCAATTAAGCACCAGAGAAGCTTTATTACATACTTCGGAAAATAAGAGATTCAGATGTTTCCCACAACGAGAAGAAAAGTCTTTTCTTCTCCCATGCTGCCATCTGGTGACAAATCAGGCACCAATTTCTAAAACTGACCAAAAGAGAACTCCAAACATTAGCAAGTTTTTCCAGACTCCATCAAACACACACTCGTTGGAGACATTAGACACTGCTGCTATGGCAAGCACCCCAAAAATGTTTGTTGTTACATGGTAGATTGCTGATCCTGCTCTGATGCTGCATCCTGTCTCCCTACCTGACTGTGCAAAGTTCCCAGCTTATCTTCAGTGTCCTTTTCTAACCGAAGTCATAGAAAACACAAGCTCCTACCCAGGCCCAGCACACTCACATAACCTACAAAAGGTTTACATGTGTCCACTGAGATTCATAAAGTGCTGTATGAACTCTCTTTAACCCAGGGTGAGACTTACTTGGATTATGCAGAGATTTACAGCAGCGAAATATTCAAAACTTGAATATCTCCATCTTGAGAGCAAGCTCTGTGCCCACCAAAAAGCCAGGCACCCTGTCAGAAGTGTTACTGCCAGGTAATAAATGGTACCATTCACATTTCTAGAAAAAAGCAGCAGTGTGCGTGGCAGGCAGTGAGGTACTGAGCAGCACCTGCTACCTGTGAGCTGAAAGAAGCACCAAGCTGCAAAGCTGTAAGATTTGCAGAAACCAAACAGATCACAACTGCAGGTGTGAAAGCAGGATGCTGCTGCTGCCAAAGTGGGGCTTCAACACAGAGATTGAGGCACTGGCAGATAAGGAAAAGCCAGAACTTACCCCCAAGGCTGGCAGGTCACACAAGAGACTGCTGAAATTGCCATATCACTGTTCTCTGAACTCTCTCCATTTGAGGTTTTGGTTTTATCTTAAAAGCTGCTCAAGGAAGCTTTTTACTTGACAATGGAAGTAACCCTTCATACACAAACACTGTAGAATAATCAGTGGTTAACAATTAGCAAACTCTATAGCCAATCAAATGTTGGAAAACATCCAATCTCATGAAACATTAACCAGCTAGCAAAGAACTAATCTGGAGAAAAAAGCTCAGGAAAAAAATAGTAATTGTATTTGCCCAACACATACCTTTGCTGTTCATTGTCACATACTCCGGAAGTCCCATCATGGTTATTTTCAGCATGCTACAGCTGCCCTATGGACTTGTCACATATCTGGCCACTGAAGAGTAAAATGTATTCTAAAAATGCCATTAAGTCAGGGCTTGCTGAGTTCTTTTTGTGTGACTCAGCAGACATACAAGGATCAACACAGGCTGTATCCCTTTGAGTTTCAGTTACTTTTAGAACTTTCACATTGGAATTGCAAATACTGTGGGCATCCTCTTTATATGAAAATAGGAGGAAAAGAAATTGTAGACAGTTTGTCCTTCTGTGAATACTGCCATGTAAAGATTTTCATAAATATGACTTCTATGGGGATTGTTGAAGTTTTACAGTAACTCTGACCTCTGGTGGCCAAGCATAAAAACAAATTAAAATATCATTCATAAACTTTGCAAGGGCTTTAGCTTCATAAAATTGTATTCACACTGAAATATTAAAAGCATGCATCGAAATAATGTTTTTCAGTAAGGACTTTTTAGCATTCTCAATACTCTTACAATAGTTTTGCATAATTAGAGTAGTTTATATAGCAAGTTCTCTGTATCACAAACCAATTCACTTCCTGGATAACAATAAAAATGTTGTGTCATTATTACTGTTCCTATTTACATTATAGCAGCCTCCCAAATCCCCAAATGCCCATCACTTTACAAAGTTACTGCCAAGAGCTCCAGAGTGAAAGACTGCAGGGACTGTCACTTAATGGTATCTCCTACCACAGATCCTCATTCTCCTATTGCAATAAAAAGCACATATATGACACATCAGTGACAAAACACAGCAGAATGAATCATTCCTTGTCATAACAAAAGGCAAATGAAAACCTGTGAGCATGCACGTGATTCCTGGCTAACAGAACTGGATTAAATATTTCTAGCCAAAACTTTCTGCAACTTTGGTATGTAAATTGCAGAATTACCATATTGATTTTATCAAAAGATAATGTTTTTCACCTTATTATCATGATTGGTTTATTGTCAATAGAAGGGAATCTGCAGTGAGCTGTAGGTAATTTCCCTGGTTTGGGGACACATCCAAGGATATACTGTACTGCTGTCCCCTGAGGGATGCTGAGGGAGCCCTAGTGCAGGTGGGTGTTACACTTAGCTTGGTGTGTCCCTGCTGGCTACCACTCCCGTCCGTGCCTGTGGGACACTCCCCAGCTCTCCCAGCACCCTGGAGAGATGAACTACAGCTCTTTCCCAAGGCTTTGCAGGACAGTTTCTCTGTCCCTCTGAGTTCTCCAAGAAAAAACTCTGGGAAGGCATCAGAGGATACACAGTGCTGCAGCAACAGAGTCTGTTTCAGTCTCAGGTGAAAAAGTCATATGAAAAGAGGGCTCTCACTCCAGCTGCTGCCTGTGGGGGAGAATTTGTGTGACAGGAGCAGTTGCTTCTTGGGGTAATAGTGTAAGGTACATGATGGAAGCCAGAATACATAGAATAGATGAAAATACGAGCTCCTTTCACTTTACAAAACATCCCACTTCTTTGGAAGACTAAGATATTAGTCTTTTTTAGGAGTGCAAGTGGCAGAAGGAAAGGACCCAGACAGAAGTTGCACACAAATGCATTTTATTGCTCTCCACAAACACAGAGATGCATACACAGTATGCACAAAGCCATAGGGCTGTCCCAGCAGTGGGAAAAACACTATCCAGCATGAATTAAACCACTCAATACAGACAAAAATCATTATTATAATGAAAATGCTAGAAAAAGCACAGCTTACACTCAAAATGTATAACATTGACCAATCCTTTTACCCCTACCTTTTCTTTAACATAAAGCAGTAACATACCCTTTTTCTAAACTGAAAAAAGCAGCAAAATAGTAGAAATATTCCACATAGTTTCCTAGCTTCTGTTCATCTGCCACACTTTATATACTAGGACTATGAAAGGGCGACTGGGGAAAATTCCAAAACCAAACCAAACCCAGATTTGATGCTGTATAAGTTACAAGCAGAGGGACACTGATTTTAATCAAGTGTGAATGGACCAAAGGGCAGTAAATTTATCCTCCGGGGTGACTGAGCAGACAGGAGTTGCTAGTCAAGCCAGAGCAAAGCTGATAGCTCTTACCAGCAATGTTAGAGAAACCTCTCCTACAGCAATTCCTGTCACAACAGTAACCTTTACAAAAACACCCTCCTTCATTTTGAAGCCACTCGCCCCCTGACTGGGCAGCGTGCTGTTACCACACAGCTTCCATACCACTCAACAGAATGCCTCAACTTTTGCCAAAGGATCCCATAAAAGTCAAAAGCATGCCATTCTTTTCACACATAAATAAAATACATGGGGAAATAAAATTTCCTACAGCAAAGAGGATCAGAGCTGGACTACCAGATGCAGTCAGACCCTTCCTCTGGACTGGGAAAGGCAAAGGTCCGTGGAAGAAGGACCCCTCTGACTACCAGGGCCTCCAGAGAGTGCTGGTGACTTTCGGAGATGCTTGTTTCAGGGTGCTGGGGGTCCCCGGGGAATAGACGACCTCCATGGCAGGTGACTGGCTCTTCTGGAAGTGGCTTAGAAGTTTGGTCTGTGTTTCAGTTCGGACTTTATGAAGAGAGAGGAAATTAAAAGCTTCTTGCAAACACCTAGAATAGCCCTCTCTGAAGTCAAACTGAGAACTTTTGTGGAAGGATCCAGCAACTAGAGAAGGGAGAAGAAAGAATAGTTTAGAGCAACTGTTTATGGCTAAAGATTCATAAAACTTACAGATTTGCAGTAAGGTACAGACTGAAAGAAAACTCAATACTCACTTTTCATCTGCAGCTGGCTCTGCTGCTTCAGGTAGCTGACAGTCATCTCCAGGATGTCAGCTTTCTCTAGCTTGGAGTTGGGCTGGTGTCTCTGAAATTCCTTCTCCAGCAGCAGTTTCAGCTGCTCGATGCTGCTGTTAATCCGGTCGCGGCGCAGTTTCTCCACCACCGGCTTCCTCAGCTGTAAAAAGCAAAGGAAAAGAGATCCATTATTCTCTGCTCCTCTCTGCCATGTCACAGGACTGGTTGTTGCCCATCACTGTTCCTAAACCATATGGACAATTTCTCAGCTGGTGCAGACTGCTATGAGCACTGCTGAGTGTGGCTAGATGCTGCCTTGCTGTGCCTGGACTTACTTTGTTTTTCTCCTTTGGTGACAGCAGGTTGTTGGGCTCCATGAACACAGTGCTGGGAGCCATCTGTCCTGGGGAAGGAAGGTCTCAGACTGGAAGTCCAGGAGAAACGTGTTGCTGGAAGCTGCCTCTGCCTGATATTTATACTATACAGCCTCGCTGAGAGTCTGTGGGTCTCCAGCTTGGTGGAGTTTCCCACACTCCACAGCCAATCCCGGAGATAGGCAGCACAATAGGAGAAGCATCTATTCTTGCATGCTCCATTGCCAGTGAATAGCCTGGGGATAATGACCTTCTCCCAGATGAGCAGGTGGGGAGTGTGTGCTACGTGAAAGGCTGGGATCAGAATTACGTGTAAGAAGCTGGAAAACGGCCGGCCTTCAATGGGAAAAGGCTGCTGACTAATGCCGCGGATCAATAGCATTCCAGAGGCAGCCCCGGGTTCTGATGTGTGAGGAAGGAGGAGGTCAGCTGCCGATGGCGGGAAATCAACTGCTGCCTGGGGCTGCTCCTCTCCTGCCTGGGGCTGCTCCTCTCCGGGATGCACCGAGGCACATGCTGAACCACGCACAAATGCACATGCACGCTTTCTGGGTTTCTGAGATCAAAAGCTGCATTTCTTTCAATCCATTTGCTCTGTTTTCTCAGTAAGCCAGAGCCAGTCGCTCTCCCTCAGGTGACTGTGGCACCAGTTTTGCCCACGTGAAACAGAAAATATGTTTTTCCAGTTTGGCTTAATGCAAATAAACTCATTTAATTGTAAGTACACACAGTTACTGGAAACTTTCTCTGTTTTAGTGTTTGATCTCTACCCTTGATATTTTATGCACCTCTTTAGAGCACTCTCAAGCCATGTCACAAATACTTTATGTTTCTGTTTTCAAATACCTGCAAGATAAATCCAGGAGGAGATGGATCTCATAGTGTTTTGCGATCAATTCAGTCCACATGCTACTTTTCTCACTTCTTCCCTAGAATATGTTTTACTCTAATTATTTTCATTTAATCTATGTATAAACGAAAACTGAATGCAGAAGAAATTCACACAGCCCACAAAATTACCAGAATTACTATTATATAAAATGACTAGCAGCATTAACCACACACCTAGAACCACGTGTTGTGGTCCCAGATTTATTCTAAACGTGCGATGTGACCTATTCAGGTCAACACACTTCTCTGTGAGCATCAGTATCTCCGTCCTTAGGACTCAATATAGGAATAATAATAATCAGATAAATTACTGTCAAGTAATGTCAGGGCTTATGTTTGGGGATTTCTTACTGAAAAATACAGGGAAGTAAGTAAATGCTGTTTGCACAGTAACACAAATACACATTAATATATGTGTGTGTCTTCATGTATATATTAATATATACTTGTGTGGTCACATATCTTTTCATGTGAATACACATGGGCACATTTCTCTCCCACTCTGCAACTCATTATTTCCAAGACCAGGTAAGGCTTAAATGACCTTTTCCAGGATCTGCCTTTCCATTCCTATTGTCCTGCTCTTGAATAGGCTCCCTTCTTTTCGTACAGAGCAGCAGCTGTTGAGCTCGGAGTCTTTTATGTCAAGTTGTGGGAAAGCTTTTGTGACACCATTTCACATGTTCTCCTCAAAGCTTGTGGATTATCTCTGAGCCCATGTAATGCCACCTCTGAAACCAATCTTTCACTCTGCGTGTCCCTCTTGGGGAGATTCTCTGAAACAGAAACTCCTGAGTAGTCACTCATTTCTTGAGCTCGTTAATCGAGTGCATGAAGAAGAAATGTGCCAATCCTTTGACCAGCAGGGTCGACCAGCCATGCTGCTAGAGGCAGTTTCTGCTTTCCAGATTAACTCACTAATAAGCAGCTATAAGAACAGCAACAATTTCCCCTTCCAGCACAAGTCACATAACAGGCACCCCAGTTTCAGTCGAACGAAGCTGTTTGAAGTATCAGGTGCTTTCCCTGCAATTCCCCACAGGACACAACAAGAAACTAAGCCCTCTGCTCAGGAATCTGTGCATTATTGCATTCCT